ATGAATTGATGCAGTTTTGTTTTTTTGTGTGTGAAGAATGTTGTCCGCAGCCTTTTTTAAATTTGTTTTTATTGTGTCTCAAACGATGGAAATAAATGCATGTATACTTGGCAAAGGCCTCTTTAAATCTCTTAATCTTTATTTTGTATTTTTGTTATCTTTGCAGCCGGGTGAAAGTCCTCCTGCTATGAAGCAGTGGGGGTTTAGTCCCACAGTGGAGGTGGTCCAGCCTGTGGTCCAGCAGCCTCAGGTGGTCTTCCTTCGGCCTGTGGTCTCTCGTCAAACTTCCCCTGCTCCCAAAGAGGCCCCCTCTAGACACAGACGCCCCAAGAAGTATCTTCCAATCCTGAAATCCTACCCCAAGATAGCTCCACATCCCGGCGACAGCTCTAGTTCCTCAGGGAGAGGAACTGCTTCCTCATCTTCCAGCAACACCTCTTCTTCTCACTCCTTCTCGTCGTCCTCTTCTTCACACTCGTCCTCTTCTTCTGGGTCAGAGAGGGGAAGCAGTTTGACCTCCAACCACCGGGAACACTGTCAAAGAGAAAAGCAGAAGAGAAACCTGTGTGGTGGCGCTAGTAACTCTGCCTCGACCACTCCCAGTCTTCCTTCTACCCCGAGCACCACGTCTCCTCTGCTCCAGAGACGACTCTCTCTCCCCACAGCAGAGGCCAGTGCCAGCAGCAGCCCTGCCAGGGAGAGGCCTTCATCAGCTGTCAGCCAGGCCGAGTTTTCCACCTCCCTGTCCGTTACTCATACCAACGGCTCTGTTTCCCGGGCGGATGCCCAAGAGGAAAGCTCATCAGCAGAATGTGACCACAGTGACGCTGATGCAAAGAGGAAGCGCTTCTGCAACACGTACAACATCTTGAGCAAATCCGGCCTGCTGGACATCGCACTCCGCACCAAGGAGCTCCACAGGCAGAACCGACGCACCCAGAGTGACCTAGACCGGCTAAAAGAGCACACGGACCTGTTCCTTCAGGCTCTGTGCAGCGGCGACACTAGCATCTGTTTGAAGCTGCAGGCCAGCCTTCCGGTGGAGGAAGGAGAGAAGGAGAGAGCTGCTCAGACCAGCTTAAAGGCAGATTAGACCTGGACTAGTGCTGGGCTGTAAGCGTTCGACTGAGGGGGGAAAGGCAGGCCGGTGGAGGGGGAGTGTATAGAGACAGATGGACCGAAAGTAATGTTCTCCACACTACACCCCCCACCCCTAGACTGTCTCACACAGAAAGTGTGCTGTGGCCTACTTGTGGCTGCCTTAGGGCCCTGACACACCAAGCTGACCTCAAAGAGTCGGTGCAGATAAAAAACAGTTTTCGCTGCCACACGTTTTCTGTGGAAAGTTGCACTCGGACTCATCGTAAGACTGTAGCTGGTGGCAGGCTGACAGCCAACATGCACATATGTTCTGGGTCTTTTGTTTTGCTGCACCCTGTCAGACAGTGGTCTTTTTAGCTTGTGGAAAAAGAAAACCACACTTAAACAGATTTGCGAGGCCACACAGAGCCCCACCTGTAATTGCCTCTGTCGCTGTTTCAACGAGGTGAATCATCCAAACAACCACAGAAAAGGCTGATTAGTGCAATCAGTGAAGGACTCACTGCACAATATATGGGGGATGGTCAGCCACACTTTAAGTGCTGCCCATCATCCTGCTGTTGCTTGGTGTGTTAGGGTCAATCAAGGCCAGAACCACAGCGTCCTGTTCTGCCATACTGAGCCTGACTAAGGTGCTGTTTACACGAGAACACAAACGGTGTGTTGAACGGATACAAACCATTTTTTTAAACCCGAAAGCACAATACAGGCTCAGAATCTGAACTCTTTATTTGAATACTGGATCTGTAAACTGTAACGTTGCATGACATGGTGTTCTCAACGACATTTTTTAAATATCAGCATACTGCTCTTTCTAACAACACATGTCTGATTTCATTAAATGGTATTAGGTTGGTCTGTTTCAACAGTTTTTGCATCATTCATGTTTGTCCTCGAGGCCGTTTTCTACTGATATGTTGCTTCACGTACATCCAGTTAACTGTCAAAGTGTGTATTTATGTAATGAAGCCGTTTTGGGGTGTCAGGATAACTGTCAAGGCCAACATTCTGAAAACTTGATGAAACTTGTTTTTCTACAGTATAGAGCGGCAGGTACTGTCAAGGCTCAAGACTAATGGCGCTCCGTTACCCTGGTGTCCATGGAAAATGAATTTGGGATGCAATAGACTAATGTTTGACACATCAAGGGGATGCACCATACTTTACCCCTGATATTTATTGTTAAAAAACATCAAATCTGTGTCAAAATGTGCAGGAAGAAAGCTAGTTAAGTTATCTGTTAGCAGCTGTTGAACAGAGGTTCTATTGAGTTGCATTATGGAGTGCTCAAGCTATATTCATTGAATTATAACGTTAATAAATACAGTAGTTTAAAGCAGTATAAAATAGATACTAAGCAAGAGAAGTATCACTTAACAAAAAATAGTAAAGCAACTTTTAAAAGGAGTGTATGTTGAAGTACTCTAAATGTATTTCCTTTTTACCTTTGCATCAAGACATTTGGGATTGAATTGGTTACTAAATGTCTGTTATCGTGACACCCCTACAGCAGTTACAGTTATGTCAAATCGTTGAATCTGACAGGCTTGTGAAACTCTTCTCCTGTCACATGACATGTGTCCATGGCCTCCTGCCAGTCAGTGTAAACATGTGCCTAACATTTCTTTATCTCCACTGCTGCATTTTGAAACCTGATGTGACATATTTGGCAGGCCCTGTTCACGGTTTATAATAGTTTTGCATTCTCAACATGATGATTGAGTCTATGACGAACATCAGCTTAGGTTTCTTGGGGAAGACTGGCTCAACTTTTGGTCTCATGAATCCAGATTTCTACTTATATTTGATAACGGATTTCACTGTCTAAATTAGGCACATTTGTGGAGTTTTGTGATGCCTAATAGGAACGTTTGTGTATGTTAATAAGTTATGGCCTTAATATCCAAACCCAAGGTATGTCAAAACTTTGCATTTGCACTAAAATAAACTGAGAGCCGCTCTGAAGCAATTTCTGAGAAGCATTTGATGGCAGCTATGGTAAAAACACTTCATTTGCATTGTGAGGCATCATAGGCACACAATCTGTATACATACTTTCCTACATGACAGACATACATAACAATTACATGGTCAAATGTTTAATTTAATAGCAGTTTCCTCAGTATTAAACACTTCTTTTGCGCATTCTGTGTCTGTATAATATTTGATGTGAAACTCTTTAAGTTGACTTAAAAGCTCCTGAGGGACTTCTCAAGGAGGGCTTATTTATATTGTACTTTGGCAATCTTATCGCCTGTGAACATAAGTACACACTTAAGTTGAAAAAGTGTATTTGCACCTGTGATTACAAAATATACTGAACAAATATCAGTTTTATTGCATATCCCCACTTTTATTTAAGGAAATGCACTGATTAACTTCATCAGCCCTTATTTTGAAAACAGACAGAAGTCAGCAGTTATGCCAACATCTGATAGAATCACTACATTTTGACTATAGAGGGTTATGTTGAGTAATTTAAAAATAAATCACTACATTTAACTATGTTTGGGATTCAAAACTAGATTTGATGTGTGTTTAGGGTTAATATCATACTGGCACACCATGCTGTGTCTTAGCACTCAGATGCCTGGCTGATCATTTGAAGTTTCCCTGGTGTTAAGATCCTCTTTGAGGTTTCTTGTCTGCAGTGCACCAGATACATCGTACAATCTCTTTGTGGTTGACTGACTTGGCTCAGTACCTCCCCTCTAACATGGTTGTACTTAAAGCCAGATAGCTCACCGCATGCGTCTCAAAATGTCCCGCGAGTATTTATTGCTTCTACAAAATATTTTGTAGATAAATTCCCTCTCGTTCAGACAAACAGTTTGGGAATTAATGTTTATATTTTCGTTCTTAAAGTCTAAAAGTCTTTAAAGTGGTGGGAATACCCTCTGCTAAAATAAGATCTTAATGTTCCAATACAAGTTCACAGCCAGAGGAATTAATGATGTGGAAATATTAAAGGTCAATATGGTTTTGGCTACAAATAGAAAATCAACAGTGGTCGTGTTCATATTTTGCTTCTTTACTACGACACTTGTTATTTTATAAAACTGGATTTTTTGTTTTGTATTCCCTTCATCCATTCGTTCGCATTACATTATTTTGATTGTTTCATGAAAATGTTTCATAACATCCACTTTTTTTTTTACACTAAACTAAAATAATTGCAGTGGAATATGAGTTATTTTAATGGAATGAGGCAGACTGTTTTTTTCTACCCTAAAAATATAAATGCAGTAGATTAATTCCTTATAGGATTTTTTCCCATGGAGGATTTACCAAAACATCGGTTTCATGTTTTACAGTTTGAAACTTGTTATAAAATCATACTTTGCGCTGTATCATTTAATGATCAATCAACTATTGATCCTTTTAGAACATGCTTTAAGGTTATGTTTGTACGTAAGAGACTCATTGCTGGTGTGATAAATGTTATCCCAAAGAAAACTTTCCTTTCGGGAATAGTGTTATTATATGAGGAGGAGCATCATGTTTTGAATCTTGGATAGACTACAAGTGATATGTCTATTTTTTTAGTTTCTCATTGCATTAGCAAACAAATATATAAAAGCAAATTCAGAAGCGATACATTTATACTTGGCTACAGCACAGCCTATGTCCACCATTGCTCGGATAGATAGGATAGGATCTCTATCTATTAAAGTTCCCTAAGTGCCATGAGAAATGACCAAGACATTTCTCATGGCACTTTCTTTACAGTTTATTTACTGTTGGAGATATTTTGGGTATGGTCGTTTATTAATTTATGACTTTACCAAAAACTTTCTGAATATGTTGTATGTAGTTTACAGTTACATCCACTAGATGGCATGGGTGATGATGGGACAGCAATAAATTGTAGCTAACTCCAGTAGATGGCGGTAAGGCAACACAAGGATGCAAGGTTAAACCTCAAAGAAGAAGAAGAGGAATAGGACTCTCACTTTTTTAGCTCACAAAACACAGCTATTGTAAGGTAAACAAATGAGTTTCACGTTTATTAAAAAGTAATAACATTAAATAAATTAACAATGTATCGTCAGCGGCCTAGCGTCGACACTTGGCAGCTAGCCTCTGTGTTTTAGCCTCGGTAGCTAGTTTGGTAACTGCTAACCCTGCAAGCTAACTTAACAAGGCAGTCTGTGTTATGTCTGTTTTATCAAACTGTTTACACTAACCCGGTGCTTTCGAGCAAGTGTTTGAACAGCTAGTGTTTGTATATAAATGTCAACTAGTAGTGTCTCTCTGTAAGCTAGCAATGCTAAGACGTTTACTTGCTCACTTGACGTTTTGTGCTGTTGTTTGACGCAGATAGTGCGATGCTGTTGACACAAAGATGACCTGCATGACCCTGCGCCTATGACCGACAGAGAACATCTAATTTAGTTGGTCAAACGCGAGGTATGTATTATCTTTCTATAACAGTCCATCTTATAACATTGGTGAAAGTGATGGATCGGCATTGCTCTTATTATTCTACAGGTTCCACACAGGGAGACCCATGCTTTCTGATGAGCTTGACTCCAAACCAGAGGTAATCTTGTTATCATTTCCATGCTTAGTGTTTTCTAAGGCAGTAGACTTTATTGTGGAATGATGTATTTATAAGATACTAGCTTCGTCATAATGCTGTGTCTCTGTTCTCTCTCTTTCTCCCCTCAGCTGCTGGTGCAGTTTGTGCAGAACGCGTCCATCCCCTTGGTGCAGGGTCTGGAGGATTTAGAGTCCAAACACTCCTGCCTGCCCCTGCTGGCTCCAGCTGTCAGCTCGCTGTGCAGCCCGCTGGAGTTCACAGGTCACCAGCCCATCACTGCTCTTCTTTTGTCCCTTACAGCAGGCAATTATACTAGCAGGACTCCACAGAGCTTACTCATTTTGAGGGTTACTACATACCACCTAATACACAATACCACTCGAAACATAGCTCCAAATTTAAAAAAGCAATAGTCTTTTAACAAGGTCTCCCTGTTGGTTTTTAAAGTGAATTATATGTCAATGTAATGAAGAAAGTGTGAATCGAGGTCTGGATGTTGAAAAGCTGGCGCCAATCCTGTTTGCTGGCCTTAAAGCTACAGTTGGTCACTTTTTAGTTATATTTTCTGAAACTGTCCCTATGTCTTGAGAGTTGTGCATTACACAGATTAGCGATGACATGACATGTTTGTCTGCTTCCCCTGAGTGCTCCTAATGGCATTCGTTAGATTCCCTTTAAAGGTTTTGAAACCTGTTTTAGTGTAATGTTTGGCTTTAGAATGTGAACCTTTGTCGAGCCAAAACCAAGCGACACCCACCGGCCAGAGAAAGGTTCAGATTTTACAGCTTAACAGGCCCCTCACATCAGTTTCTGAAATAATTTGATTCTGGTGAAAGGCAGAGCAGCAACTGATTCCTTAGTTATATTTGAATCAGTGCTCCTTGTTTCACAGTTTGATCGGAGTTCACAAGCAGTGATTGACACTGCGTTAGAGACTACTCAGTTCTGACTTATTCGGCACAGTATAATTATACCAATGCCATGAGGAGCACTCGGTGGAGGCAGAGGAACATGATATTTGAATCTGGTTCATGAACTACTATCAGATTGTAGTGATAGAAACACAAAAATAATAAAAGTTATTTGTAAAAAAAGTCACCAACTATAGCTTTAGAAGTTAAATATTGCCCGAAATGTATGAAAGATTTTAAAGAAAAGAAAAGATGAGTTCAAAATGCATGAAAAAAAGTGTGAGAAGGTATCGACGCTGAACATTCTTTCTATTTACTTTAAAAGTGTTTTTATTCTTGCTTCACTTCTCAATGGCCATTAGATGTGATATAGAATAGGCTTATCATTTCCTTAAGATGTTTAGCATTAATATTTGATGAATCTGGATGGACAGATGCCCCTTACGATGCATCAGGGCTGTGATTTCTCTCTGTGTATATTCCTTGTGATCATACTTTGAAACAAACCCAGCACAATAGATAGTGTTGGCAGGCTAATAATAGATAGCAGATGTATGTATACATTAAAGGTGCCCTGCAGGGTTGTGGGTAAGCAAACAAAGCTGTGTTTATATTCAATGTTTTTTTACACAGTTAAAAAGGGAATGTTCTTTTATTTGTTCTACTAAATGCTAATATAGCATGCGCTTATTGTACAATATGAACCGCTGTTCAGTTGTTTTGGATATTATGTTGCCGATAAGGTGTAGTTTTCTTTTTAGGATTAAAACTAACCAACACTTGTTTCCTCCTCAGATGGAGGCCTGAGCCATGTGCCTGAGAGGTCTCCCTCCCTGTCTGAGTTCGGAGGAGTGTCAGTGCGAAGCCCATTAGTGATCCAGACACACAGTCACCAACGGGCCTCCCCCAGCCCCCCGCCCATCCTCCATGACCTACAGCAGTCCGACAGCACTTCCTACGTCCTACTGAACCTTGCCAAAGGTAAAGGAACACTAACCATCAGCATGTTTAAGACTCCAAGATGTATTCCCGTAGGGTGAGTCACTTTGAAACATCTTTTTAAAGAGTTTTTCATCAAAATCTGTTCTTGTGTCAGTACTTTTTGTCTCGCACAGTTCCCCGTTATACACTCCGCGCTAAAATAAATGAGGTGACACATTTTCATGAAGAGCTGTGAATTATTTGGGCCGGAAGAAATGATCCTTGGCAGGCACATTCTCTTGGTTCATCAGACATTGGCAGCAGAGCCTCAAAATTAATTGTGGTCTCTTGACACACACCTATTGTGCAGAACGCTGTGTTCTGCCTGTGACTCAGTGAGTGATGCAAAGGCTTTTCAGCAGACACAAGCACTTTCTGGCTATTGTTGGATTAAATTAAAATTAGAGTGATTGTTTTTTTTGTGTGTGAATATGCTTTTCAATGTGTGTTGGCTGACGTCCTCTCAGCCTTTCAGAATACAGCTCTTAACATTAAACCCAAAAAGGATCAGCGGATGGAGGACAGTCATGAATTCACCGGCTATTTGTGGATCCTCAAAAAATCTCCAAAAACATTGATCTACATTTTTTAAAATTAAAATGCTTTAAATTAATATTTTTGAATAGTCTTAAAAATGCTTAGACATAGGAAGTAGGATTGTATTAATTGTTATTTTCTGGCATTGTCTTTTTAAATATCAGGATAATTCACATAAGTATATGACCTATTTCCCTGTTATATAATATATAATACCTGTTGCATTAAAGATCAGTGGAATCCCATTGTTCCTATTTGTTCCTTTTTTGTTATTGTAAAGTTATCTTAAGTGACTCCAAGTCCTAAACCTAACTTGCCTTAAGCTGTAGGATCCCTGATTCAGAAATGGACTCAGGTCATTGATGATCATGCAGATGGTTATACAGAATGTCTTGCTTCACACAGACTCTCCTCACCTTTTATGCATCACAGCCTCCTCAGAGTCCCTGATCTTCGCCGCAGACGGCGCCGGGGACGATGACGATGAGGTGGTCTCGTCGGGGGACTACGGGATCGACGGCAGTGCTCCCTGGTATCTGCGGGTGCAGGAGCTCGCACACGACAGCCTGATCGCCGCCACGCGGGCACAAATCGCGAGAGATGCCCGGGCCTGCCAGGACGCCAGAGCTGCAAGTGTCAGCAATGGTAATTACGACGTCTTTCATTACGATTAATCGGGCAGTTCTTGATAAAGCGTTCGACAGAAAATGTTAATAAAATGTGCAAGGTGATATCTGTAAATGACACGTTTTCACACTCCAAACTCCAAATATATTCGCTTTATTTTGATATTTAATAGACAAAACAAGGACATCTCTTAATTGTAGGGGTTTGAAGAAGACATTTTTTGCATCTATCATAACGATTAATCCTTTTATAAAAGTTGTTGTTGTTGATAATATTTCTGTCCATCAAGTAATCGATGCAGCTTTAAAATCAAACGGCAGACAGTTACAGCCCCTCTGTGATGTAGTGTCACGTTTGAGACTATAATGAATATAAAGGAGAAATGGAGGCTGCGTTCAGGAAGCGGCACATTTCCCTGCTCAGATAACATCAGCCGGTCTACTTTCTACTAGCATCAAAGACAGAAAGAAGAGAAACGAGGTCAGTGATGAGATGAAAATGGAGTGTTATCACTACCGACTGAAACTGTTCAACACTTGTCATCGTGAGTCTCTAAATCAAAATTAATTTGTAACATTCTCAACACGGATTTACAAGTCTGACTGCAAATATCTAGTGAAGGCCTAAATGGAACATTATCGTGAGACATTGATCAAGCCTCAGCACGGATTGATGTGCTGTGTCTGTGATGATTTAATGTGCAGTTAGTGGATGGCTAATGCTTCAGAGAGGGAGAGAGAGTGCAGCAGCTGGAAGACAACAGGATGGAGACAGGAGACATGAGAGAGGTCACACAGGTGGTCAGAAACAGATTACTGACCAGTTTACATATTCTGCAAATAGAATCTCTTAATGACAATACTTTTATTTAGAACTTGGAAGAAATGTTGTCATGGAATAAAACAAAAATGTCAGTTTTACTCAACTATAACCTTTAAAGCAGTGGTTCTCAACTGGTGGGTCGCGACCCAAAAGTGGGTCGCGGACCCGTTTCGAGTGGGTCGCGGATGTGTGAGTGAAGAAAAAAAAGTTGGAAAAAAAAAATTGGATTTTTTTTTTTTTTTTTTTTTGGGAAAAAGTCAAACTTTTATTTTGAAGGCCCGATTTTCTTCTCAGAGTGTACCAGAATGCGTAGTTTATGTTAGTATTTCTAAAAATCTCCTGGGGGAGAATCCCCCCAGACCTCCCTGTTGGAGTTGGGTTTCAGCATGTGTGCCTTTTTATATAGTTCAGCTTTGATTCCATCATCTCATTAAACCTTTTTTAAAAGCATACTTTAGTTCTGTGAAGGGATATAAGGGATATATGCACTGTACTTCACTTTTATTAATATTGTATGCTCAAAAGCGTATATATATATATTACAGCACGATTTTTTGTTGAATAGATTTGAGTGCTTCAAAATGTTGGGTCACGATGTATTGACCAAGTAAAAAGTGGGTCCCGAGGCCTGACCAGTTGAGAACCACTGCTTTAAAGGGCCCTAGTATGATGTTTGGGTGTCTGTAGTGTGTCATATCGGTTTTTGTAAATGGTCTGAAAAGGCTCAAATCCCAAAGTTCCCTAAAGGGGAGTTTCCGTCGCACACTGCCTGCAACGCCTCCATTGTAGTGTTGTGTTGTTTTTCGTGACATCACTATGTTACACTGGCGCTTCTATTGGCTAGCGCTCACACATTTCCAGGCAGCGTCTCTAAAGCTCACTAATGAACTTTTTTCATCATGTTTGTTTGATTCTTACATAAAAAGAAATATACAAACATCACTTTAATGCTCTAACAGGGATATCGTTTTTTGGCAGGGAACTTTCTTGAATCCTTACTGGTTGCTTGGTAACAGTCAAGAAATAAGTGTGATAGATTTGAAGCAAAGTGTGACCCTATATTCAAAAAGGCAAATATATTCTGAAAGTTACAAAGATCAAGTATGATAAGAATATGTTTTTAAGTGTATTTCTTGTCTAGAGTTGTTTACTCCAGCTCCTCCACTTGCCGACATGATGTCTTAACCTGTTGCTTACCCTAATCTCTTTCACTCTTTTGACTGTGAAGCGGTACACTTTGATGTAAGACAAACATCCACTTCCTGCGGCACATAGCGCAAAAAAAACAACTTTTTGACCCTCACCATGAGTCAGGACTTCATCACAGCCCTCTGCAGGCTGCTGCTAGATAAAGAATTGGTCCATGACATCCAGGCTCCATGGCTCCTGGCTACATCTTTGAACTGCTTCTGAGCCCAATTGCAGCCAGAGGTCCTTGTTAGAGAAGTGATACGAGAGGTGTTCTCATCTTTACCTGCTCCTAGTTTATGTCCTCGCACTCAAACTCAGATCCCGCGGTTTATGAACTTATACTTACATGCATATTGTCAAATGATAATGTAGCTTATATTAAGTTCAGATGCTTGTTTTAGCACCGGTTCAGCGGTGGAATATGCACTCAGAACTTTCTCACACAAAATACTTCGACACATTTAAAAGTTGTGCTTTACATTTTTTGCATTTAATCTGCAACAAGAAATTAGTAGGTAAACAAATAAATATAGTGGTGTTAAAGTATAACATTGGCTTCCAAACTAGTGAAGTAGAAGTATAAAGCATAGTATGAACATACTCAAGATCCTTCAAATATCCTTGTATACAAAAAAACATAGTGCTTGATTAATATTTTGTATTACTGATCTGAACATGCAAAAACTGGACTAGAAAGTATAATATGGGATAAAAGTGAAGTAGAAGTATAGGAGAGCATTAAGTTAAGTATGAGCACCTCACAATTGTGTCTAAGTACAGTACTTAAGTAAATGCACTCAGTTAAATTGCACTACTGTACAGTTGTTCTTACCTCTTTATAATTTCCCCACATTAACCCTTGACATTTTATTTCCATTAAAGGTCTATTAATATCAGTTATCTGAGGAGGGTCGTGTCTTTGATAGAATCAAGGTGACCAAAATCAAGTGTTATACACACGGAAGCGCATTGAACAAAATACTCTCTAGGGCAACAGTTGTAAAATACTTTGTGCACTGTTGGATAACATGCAGCAGCAGCCTGGAAATGGTTTCAGTGAGGGACTAAAACTGCACTCTCTGAGCGGTTGATGCTGCCCTCCCATTAACTCGCTGCAGATGAGACAAGTTGCCCAGCAGCGGGGTGTCGGTTACAGGTGCATTACTGCCGCACGCTGTAAGCATAATTGGCCCTGTTAAAGGCTCTGAAGGCGGGGAGTCAGCGCAGGTGAAAGGGAGTGATTGCATTCAGCTTGGGGGTGGGGGGGGGGTCTTTCTGCTGCTGTCGTTCTGCAGGTCAGCTCTCACTCAGTACCCGATGATTAGCTTTTATACGGCCAGGCTCCAGAGGCTCTCCTATATTGTTTTTCTGCCCAAACCCGCTCATTTTTCCTCTCCCGGTTGCCTAGGCGACCACACGCACGGTTCCCCGGCAGACGGGGACAAGCGGGAGCTGCCGACTCGGACCAGCCGCCCCCTCTCCAAGCAGGTCCTCCGCTGCTCCTTCGAGGGCTGCTGCAGGACGTTCACTTGGCCGGCTCACCTCAAATACCACCTGAAAACACACAGGTAGCACACACGCACGCACGCACTGTGAAACTGTGTAGGCCTTATATCCGAACAACCAACTCCATGCCCTTACAATACACCAGAAATCCCTATAAAGTCATAAAATAAAGAAGCCTTAATTGTATAATGCTGGAGAATTTTGGTTGAATACTAAATGAAATTGTTCATCTTGCCTTAAAGCACAGGGATTATGAGAACTGTTAGTTCTGTGAAGGTGGACGATTTGTGTTAATGGGAGAGACATGTTTTACAGGAGATCACACAGAGTGTCCACAGGTTGTTTACAGTGCAGGCAGCTGAACAGGGGGAGCACAGCTGAGGCAGTATTTGTGCTGCAGGGACTCCCCTAACATCGGTGTAGGAAATATATGAGGTGCGCTGTTGCAAATAGAACATCTGCGCGGGAATCACCGAGACATGTTTGTTTTTCTGGGCTCCCAAGGAACGACCGGATGTTTAGGTGCGGCGCGGAGGGCTGTGGGAAGAGTTTCTACGTGCTGCAGAGGCTGCAGGTTCACATGAGGACGCACAACGGAGAGAAGCCCTTCACCTGCAAGGAGAAGAACTGTGGCAAGAAATTCACCACGGCTGGAAACCTGAAGAACCACAGGCGCATACACACAGGTGACTTCTACAACAACAACAACAAATACCCAAACAAGCTGGGAGCAATAACTGACTCAGGCCCTTTTCCTCTGCTCATTTAATGCTTCCTCTGTGAAGTCATGGCCGGAGATTTTGAAGAGTCAGCAGCACTGGCGCCTCCGTTTCACTGCCGCGAAGAGAAACAGTGCTCTGTCATATTTTATTTAGGGTGACATTAAGATTTTTGATGGCCTGTTCCAGAGTCTGCTTCTAATGTGTCAGGATGCGTTAGCAGAGCACTGTACAGTGTTTACATTTATCCCGTATGTCTGGACGAACAGCTTTCTACGAGCCATCATATCCACTTAGTCCGACAACATTATATTACAATGTCAATGTCTCCGGCAGCAAAACAGGTCCATAAGATGACATTAAGTGTTAGTCTTGTGGAGTTGAACAATATGTGTGTGTTTCTAGGGGAGAAGCCTTTCCTGTGTGAGGCAGATGGCTGTGGGCGATCCTTTGCCGAGTTCTCCAGTCTACGGAAACACATGCTCGTGCATTCTGGTGAGTGGGACACGGCTAACAGCTGTAAGGAAGAAAACTTTCTCCTAATTAAGCAGATACAGTATATCCTACGAGAGGTAGTCCGTATCAATTAGGATGGGATCACAGGACGTGTGTGTGTGTGTGTGTGTGTTTCCAGGTGAGAAGCCTCATCACTGCGGAATCTGCGGGAAGACTTTCTCTCAGTCGGGCAGCAGGAACGTCCACATGAGGAAGAGGCACGGAGAGGAGGGGCTCGGCAGTGAGAGCAGAGAAACAGGTCTTTCTCTTCCAAACATAATCTTTCTTCTTTCTTCTCACACACACACACACACACACACACACACACACACACACACACACACACACACACACACACACACACACACACACACACACACACACACAGTGGCAGTAGGTGGTTATGCTAATCCTCGGATTATGTACCTTCAAGCGGCCCATACATTTTAAAAATGTGCATAGAGATACTGTGGGTTTAAGTTACTTTTAGGAACATTTGTTGAATAATTAATGATTTTAAGCACTTAAAAATTCATCACTCAAGTGTTTTTCTTCAGACCCTGTAGCGTAATTGTTTCAGATTGCAACACATTTCTGGGAAAAGCAGAGACTCTACTGCAGAAATGGGACTGTTAGGCGCCGTGTGATGGGGCAGAATTGTCACTAAAGTGTGTAATCACCGAGCTGAAATGGCAGATTAAGCTTGCTTTTAAAGTCTTTTTGCAGTCACCTTACAAATGACTCACAGAAATGACTGGATACTGTAGTAAATCTTCCTCTGCAGCGGAGGGATCACTGCTGCCTTCATTCTCAGTATCACTTTCAGTATATCTTCAGAGTTAAAGCGCCTCTCAATGAGCTCTTTACATCCCAACATATGGTCTAATTGTACCAAATCCGCTTAACATTAGTTTTCTCGCCGTGAAACAATAAAGCCGACACGTTTGTGTAGCAGTGGGGAAGCACCGCCGCTGAATCACCACAAAGGAAGCGCTGCCAAAGCCTCTAATTATAAACTGCAGATTTATCCGGGTCAGCCTCCCCAAAGAGGCTGGTCTTTTGTAAAAAACAGAGCAAAAGAAGATGCCGCTTCACAACAGAGGGGTACTTTCTGAGTCACTCCATGAATAATTAAATCGACTGTGTTGGAGAAAACAACAGTCCTAAAAACAACCAAAAAAAAGTTCTTACACAAGCTTCAAACGGTAATTAAAGTGAGTAATAACGAGCGGATGTCAGGTTTGAATATTGACTTTTATCCATTACAGAACACAGATTGAGTCCAGTGTGTCCACCCCATTCTCTTTGTTCTTTTGAGTTCAACAGAGTGTTGTTGGTCTGCCCCTGACAGGAGAGGCTCTGACACACAGCAGCCTGCTGGAGGCCGACGGCGAGAATGGAGACACTATGGTCACCATGACAACGGCTGTGGAACCCATGAATCTTCACCACGCCATGCTGAGATCACCAGGTATGAATTTAAACTTGTACAACAGGGAAAACCCAACACACACACGGGTGAGCTAACATGACACTTCGCCAAATAAAATGTTGACGCTCTCAATGTTCTGTCGATACAAGAGGTGCTGAGTCAGCGTGTGGTGATGCTAATGTCGTGTTGAATGTGGTTTAATCATTCCTTGCGACAGACGCTGTTACTCTTTCAGCTGGTTACTTTGCTCCATGATAGAATGGAGATAGTAGAAGTAGAAATACACATATAGTTGAGGTTTTCTTAAAACATCTGTCAGTCTTTCTTCTGCATTTACTCACACTGTTGGTCTCTAAAAGTTTTGTTCTGAAAAGTTGGTTCCAACCCAACTATGATTTATTTATGCAACCCTTTGACCATTACTTACAATTACATTGTGTAACTGGAGCACTCAAAGCCAAGTGACAGGCTGTTGATTCTACTCCATCATTGTCAAATGTACTCGGGCCACAACGTAATATTTGTTGAGTTTAGATGCTGATATAATGTTAGGTTAATATTCATCTACCTGTACAGTGCTTATACTTAAAAGTATACTTTCTGGGCTGTTTTTTCTGTATATATTGGGTATTTAAAGCGGTGTTGTTACTTGTTACTCTTATTATTAGTAGAAGTGTGTCTTATTTTATTCCTTTTTGCATTTTCTTTTCTTAATTATAATTTTTTTGTAAAACTTTCTTTGGATTTTCTGTATTTGAAATGTAAGAATTTAACCAAAACATGTTTACTGGTAAAGGAGGATGGTGATCACAAGTAGACAGTAAACCACACTGAAATGACCGTAATTTCACATAAAACCTCAGTCTTAACAAATAGCAAACACAGGTCTTTACTTAATTAGTATTTAAGCCTCTGTTGTGTCATTTGGGCTACTCCCTGTACTAGAGCCTTTGACTTAATGATTCACTATTCAACTTTAAGGACCAGCTCTTAGCTAATATCTGAAAAGCACTAAAATTGTTCCAGTTTTCAGAGTTTAAAGTGAAAAAGACGCTTAAAATCATTTCAAAAAGATAGTTTCGCTCTTACCTTCTATGAATCGATCTAGATTGTTTTGGCGTGAGCTGCAGAGTGTTGGAGATATTGGCCGTTGAGATTAATAAATAGCACTACGGGTGTATTTTTAAATGTATGGGTTAACTATCCCTTTTTAAAGTCCATTTGTATTGCATATTTAGAGTTTAACCCCCTTTTTAGATTGAACACTTTTACTCTGAATAACTTTATATGCTCAATATTTTGCGAGTATCTTTAAATGTCCTCCAGTTTTTCCTAACTCAGCCTGTCAGCATTCAAACCAAAAGGCGGTTGAAAGCTTGCAGAAACTCAAGGACACGTTTCAGTAGACTTCTGCCCCTGAAGGCGTTCCATCCCATAATAACTGGTGTTATTGACAGGTGTCTCACTTTTTGACAGCATGCATTTGATCTATTTGAACATTTATTTTCCTCCCCTCCAGGCTCCGCGGATTCGGTGGTTGTCCTCTCTCAGCCCCATGAATTGGTAACCATGACGACCGAAGGGCATGCGTACGGAGAAGATGTGGTGGCGCTGCTGTAGTCTGCCATCGTGAGAAATCATCGACACACTGAACGTCTCTGTGTAAATACACCAATCGCTGACGTTCACCCCCTTGTAGATATTTGTAATTATCCACCGATGATGCTTTTATTTTGAAATGGCAAAGTTTGTACAAACAACCTTTTTCCTTTGAACAAATACTCCCAAAGAAATAATGAGACGGGTTTAAAAGTTTATGAGAATATAATGACCATGCATTGTACATTATGTAAACAGCAGTGTGAAATGCAGCGATGATGGAAAATGCGTCCCATTCCTTTTTGAAAATGAAATGGCTATAAATGTACCAGTTGCCCATTATTACTAACTACAAAACACATGATATCAAATCTACTAAAGCACAGTGTCATGTTGCTGCATGTAAACATTGGTCTTGCAAACCCCTTACAAGACAGACCCCCCCCCCCCCTCCTGTTTATCATCCCGACGAAAACATCACTCTCAAACAAATTGGGTTTCCGGTAATGCCCCGAGCTGCATTAACGGTTATTGGCAACATCTCTCACTCAAGTGTCAACCTTCAGTGCTCCACTTGTTCTCTGAGTAAGACAACACATTGCTCATTTACAATATATTAACACTAGAGTGCTTTTTTTAAACGAAAATAAGAATTACTCATGCAGCCGTTAGATAACCTGTGTGTTACCGAGCACCACCTACTCCTGCCTTCTCCTCAGAGGATCTTCAGGTCGCGGAGGTGATCCAACGTGGCGCCTAAAGCCCAGCTGGCCTCCACGTTGTTCACTTTCTTGGTCAACTAGGAGAGGGGAAGAAGAAAAACACCAAATCACTCAAATGCCTTTTGTATTTATTTAAATAAAAAAAGTAACAGAATATTTGTGTTTTTTCTTCATTCACGTATTGGCAAGAATTGTGCTCTTTTGTTAGGTCTCACCATCACTTCGTTTGAACGTGTGCATTTAAAACGTGGTGACAGAAAAGGGTCACACAGAGCCTTGTAGCTACATTACAAGTGAGTCATGGTCTTCTTATTCACAGCCTTAAAACGGAACTAACAGTTGTTAAAATAAGGCAATTGTAACTGTACCATGCTTGTGTCTTTCATGTAAGTCACTAGTTTATGATGCAAACCACACAATCTAAGCTACACAACTTTCAACGAGAAATCGATTTTATAGCTCTGAGCAACCTTTTGAAAAATGTTCCTTCCTGTCTGTTTGGAGGCCACAGTGTGTGGTTCAGCGCCGCCTCACCTGCAGCACGGTGCTCTCCTTGAAGCCGAATCCATCCTTGAGCAGACAAGTGATGTAGGTCATGTCCATGCACAGGAAAGAACTGATGGGGGGGTGCTTGGTCATCTTATTGCACACTGAGCAGAGAAAAATGGAAATGGATGAGGGGCAGGATCCCAGTCAGCCGCGAGGACACAAGCCCAGGCTATTCAGACGCACACAGTGCTACAGTACAGGGTGATCAGATCTGTCATAGTGAGGACGCACTGATTGGCTCATCTCACCCTCTTTAGCCCTCTTCTTGAAGTCTCTGACCTCCAGCGTCCCCCCATGGACCCCATCTGCAGCAGGAAGCGATAAGGTCATTTTCTACACACTTCATATGCAATACTATTCATTAGGAGAGCATACGCACATTTCCATAATACTAATGATACACCTTGTGCCGTTAAGCTTGGAATGGCAGTATAGCATCTCTCTAATAGCTACACACCTATAGCTCATCAAATCCGCAGAGACAGGTGCAGATGACTCATACTTCTCTGTCTTGCATTGGAATGGGTAATCGCATCCTGCTGGCCTGTATAATTATATAAGGTGTGCGTGCGTGCGTGCGTGCGTGCGTGCGTGCGTGCGTGCGTGCGCATATCAGTAAGCGTGCACTTACCGATAAGGCCTGCATCCACTGCTCGGTCAAAGTAATAGGAGAATGCATAGAATACATTGCTGTCTTGGAGCTCATACGGCTGGTGAATAATCCCCTTCACCACCTTAAGTACTTCCTGATAACAAAGCTTGTATCCTGCAAGACCTGGAGAAGAGACAGAGACACGGCAGGGTATAATATGCATCCTCTGCTGGAACAGCACCTGACTCTAAAGCAAGGAATCTCTGTTTTTTTTCTCAAAATGTCGACATACTTTACTAAGCTGTTATTTTGCATATTTTTCAACACACTATACTATTATTTATTTTGTTGTATTTTGGCATTCGTTAAATATGTATTGTTTTTTCTATCATTTCTAACATACCGTACAATGACATTTTTTTTTCAACATACTAAACTATGACCTTTTGTTATATTTCCGACATACTATGCAAAGTCCTTTTCCTGATGATTGCGACATACTATACTAAGTGTTTCTTTAAATATTTTTGACACAACTTATGTTGTTTTTTTGCATATTTTTATCTGATCTTTTCAATATCAAGAAAATCGGGTAAGCATGTCAAAAAAAGTTATAATAGATCAAAGTTATAGTATTTTTTGGCAGTATTTCACATATTTAAAAAAAGGCATAATACACAATGTAAAAAATCCAAATCACAGTTAAATTCACATTTTAGTATTTGGCGAAAAAGTCTTAGTATATTATGCTGAAAATGATCATAAAAGCTTAGTATAGTTTGTGATAAAAATCAAAGCAGTGTATAGTATGTCTTAAAAATGTCGATCTATAGTTTGTCGAGTAAATTAATAAAAAAATAGATAATAGAGTGTGTCACAAAAAAGGTTAATAAATAGTATTTCATAGAAAATCATAGTATATATAGCATACACATAATTCATAGTAAAGTACTTCATCAAATGTGCATGTTGTGCTCATAACGAACAGTAGTACCCTATATCTGGAATTGCTGGTGTTAGGTTTCTATCATTTTACAGTAACCAAATGAACGCTGTGTCCAAGATACATGAGCTTTGGATTCACTCAGTGACTGTTTATACTCCGTAAACAGGATCTTACCATCTGGGTCCCCGCTCACTCGATATGTCAGCCCTCCAAAACTCCATTCATCCCTGAACTTCTTTGGCAGGCAGGAACTTTTAAAAAGCCGCCACTCCAACCCTGTCAGAGCAGAGAAGTGACTTTTTCATTTTCAAACTTGCTCACCGGCTTTACACCCGGTCACCGTGGTCTGAGACTGACTCACAAACACAATTTTCTCTGAAGCCCTTCGGTGATCCATCTCAGGGTTTTTGAGAGAGAAAGGGTTGAATGTACGTGCCAGAAAAACATCTCTCTCTTGTTAGCTCCTTTAATCAGCATTGGGAGAAAAAAGGCAGGGAAGAAACAACACCCGAGAGAGCGTTGAAGAGCTGACTCGGGATCCTTCTGAGACACACTCACAATGAACAACACTGACCCACACAGCTAATGGCAACAGAGAACCCCTTCCTCATGTCCAGCACAGTACCTTCTGCCCCCAGAGCCCCCAGCGTGGCCACCCTCGCTGCCATCAGTCCATTTCCAAGGTAACTGCAGGAAGTTAGAGGATTGTTGTGAAGTTACAAAAGCACCCAGGAACAGACAAATGGTGCCTGCCTATTATTCACATCCTAATGACTAAACAGCTGATAGAAGCTTTCCCTAATTAAGAACAGAGTGAAGTTATGAAGATAAAAAAAAGATAGTAAGTGGCATTTATAACATAATTAGTCAATACTCAAAGCCAAAAATATTGCAATTACCTTGAGTAGACATTTAATCAGGTATCAAATGATGCAATTATGAGGTTTAATGAATGTGTTTTATGAATAAATAAATAACATATTTTACCTGTAAGTGTACAATTCAAATGTGGAGTTGGAGATGTCATATTTGGCAACGTAATCAGCGACAGGAACACTTTCAATGGTTTTCTAACGTGGAAAATGAAGGACATGATGGGTTATTATTCATCAGAAAATAGTTTTGAAATCTTGAAGAGTGCAAAACAAACAGCTGACCCTGAGCTTTGGCAGGAAAGTGATCTGCGTAGATCCTCCGCCCAGATCCAAGATTCCCACCGTCCTCTTGCTGTGTGCATTCAGGTGACCTGGAAAACATTTCCTACTTTACTGCTTTAATCTAGCAGCCTCAACAGAGAGGAGCTAATCAGTTATACCTTAGATGCTATCTTCAAAAGGCCTATCTGACACAGAACCCAATAGTATAACATCCTGAGCCTGATAAACATCTGAGCTATCCCCTCGAGGCCACAGCATCACAGCTGTATGCATTCAGTATTTGTGTCTATAATAAGACGCGGATGATTTCAGACGGAGAGTTACATTTGGAGTTTACAGCACTCACCCGTCAGATAGTTCACAGATATCCAAGCCAGGATTCCTACATTAAAGAGATCGGCGAACAGAAAACAGACATGTCAAGCACATGTTCATTTGAGAAAAGCTGACAACAAATTCTCACAGAAATTACAACATGCACAACACGCGAGTAAGAGGTATAACTCTGAAAGACAAGGTTGAAACGCTGACAAATCATTACACCTTTTCACAACAGGCAATAACAATGTCTCAATATGTAATTACAGGCTTTTAAGGTCAAAACAACTCTGTGGTGAAGAGCCGTTGCATTTTCTTCAGTATCATCATAAAAGATAGGCAATAATCTGCAACGATGCCACCTCCCAACGTGCTGCAGCGAGATGTGATAACTGACTAATGCGTCGAGCCTTGGCAGACGCTACCTTCATTTGTGCCGTTCATTATGCTGACGCTGTCGTCTGGGACCCAAAACGGAGATTCATCAAACACGTGTTGAACCTGTGGAGAGAGAGGGGTGAGAGTGAGGGGGAGTGAGACAGAGGAAGGGGGAGAGGGAGAACGAGGGGGCCAAGGAAAGCAGCAGAGGAATGGCCTCCGTGTTATCTACTGTAATGGTAGCTCATCCAGAGGTGCCCTCCGCTTCGAGGGATTAATTAATTCCCTCAGGGGGATTAATAACGTATCATTCATCTTCCAAGGTGCCCCGGGCAGCCATTACTATCTTATCCCTTCCACTGGAGCCTTCCACACTAAGCTCCCTCCACTCTGATAACAATACTCTGCCCTAACACCGAAAATGTTCTTTCCTCCCTCCATGGATAAGAGGTTCCTGAGAGAATGTCAGACAATGGAGCGCCTTACAACTCCCTGATGATAAAGAACTGCACTCCACTCTACAGAGGGCTCAACAGCCTGTCATGTCTCGGAGCTACTGCATTATTTTACCTGCTCCAAAAGCAGCCGGGCTCTCTCTGCGGACAGCAGCCGAAGTCCAGCCGTGGCTCTGAGGAACAGGGGGGTTCTCTTCCACTCCAGACGAGGCACCGTCTTCTTAGCCACCTTCAACAACATCCTGACGGTGTGTCCAGCCTGTCAAACACACACAGTACTCACCATAAGAATTAGTTACATTTATATAGCGCATTTCATATACCCAAGGACGCTTTTATAAAGGGGGGGCGAACACTAAACACAATCTGGGACAGAACAATGGGACTACAAAGAAAACAGACAAGGAGAGAGAAGGCAGATGAGGCGATGTATGATGGAAGAAGTAATCAGGTCTTTTACTTAATTAAATGTACATAAACATAAGGTTTAAAATACTTTTTTACAAGCAAAAGTCCTGCATACAAATTCCTACTTAAGTAAAAGTTCAAAAATGTTAGCATCAAAATATAATTAAAGTACTAAAAGTACTTGTTATGGAAGATGAACCATCATATATACAGTACTGTTTATATCATATATTTTAAATGTATAAATATAAAATCACTGCATTAACTTTTTTAATGCATTAATGTCTTCATCACAGCTGGTGGAGGAGTAACTACTTTATATACTGCTGCTGGATATTTTAAGCTATAGTT